ATAGCTTAAGTGAGCATTCAGAATATGAGATTTTCAGGAGCAGTATTAGACAGTAATATACAAGTCAAAACTCAGGTAGCCTTTAAATAACTAGACTGCAATATATATGCCTATTAAAAGATTATAGCATTGTTTTTACAGTTTTCTACTTGTAGCCTAACCCTCATTATCACCTGTAGGTTAAGATTTTTCATATAATTCATAAACCCCTACTGAGAATTACCATCCAGCAAAATTGCAGGTGGATATGTTAAAAGTCAACAAATTTTCTACCCCTCACTGAAGAAATTTCACTCCTTCCAGTGGATGTAAAGAAATGCAGCTCAAGGTGAGTTGAAAGGGAGACTCTCAAAATTTACACAAGCAATGAAACAGCAAATTTTCATGCATAGATTGCATTTATGCCCATTTCAGTGTTATAAAGCTTTACAATTTAATGTTTGACGAGTAACTTGAAAATAAATTGCTCTTAAACCAATTCTAAAGCTTATTAAAAGTAATTTTTAAAATAAGCAAAAAAGCTTTTAAGTCTTCTTGGCAAAGTATATTCAATTAAAGACTTCCCTAACTCCCTGACTAGGCAAGGTCTCCCAATACTTGTTAGATTTATCCCAACTGTTATTTCCACGTTAAACAAATAATTACACAAATAGAGATGTTTACCTCCCTCTAGACTCTAAGCTACAAGAGAGCAAGGGCTGTTTCAGTTTTGCTAGCGGCCCTTGGGGACGCCTAAATAATTATTTGTTGCATGAAAAAAAAAGGCCCCAAGTTTAAGAATGAATATGCCTGTCTTTACTTTTCTAATTTTAATCAAATCAACACGCCTTCTGAGTTTAAAATGCATTTATTCAAAACAACTTTTTTTTTTTTTTTTTTAAGTAAACCTAGCTTCGTCTTCGCCAAAAGTCTCAAGCAGTTTACTGAACCGGTGAGTTTTGGGAAAGCTGATACTATCTGGAGAGCACACAGTAGGCGCTCAGCGTATGCTTGTTAAATGAAATGAATACCATAAAGTGAGCTAAATGAGATCCAATCTAGAGGAGATAGCCAACACAAAGTTAAAGGTATCGTGCCCACGCCAGTGCTTCCCACTAACTGGTCAGAGTACTCTGACTTCCCTCCCTTCTCTGTTCCCTAGGCCATTTCAACATCCCAAAGCGTTAAGTTTCCAGAAAATGGCTTGGGGAAGGAAATGAGAGCCAGAGCTTAAACTAGCGGGCACAAAACCAGTGTGCTTTGAATTAAAGACGTTCCCACTTCAATGTCCTTTCCTTTTTTTCTCCCGTTCTACAAGTGTCAACATCAAGGCTGAACTGGGGTCAAGATATCGCCGAATGTCACCACATCGAGATAAAACCAAAAACGCGGAGTTTATCAATCCCGTGACACACTGGAAGAGAGTGACCCAGTCCCCCCCCCCACCCCAGCCCGGAACTGGGGGACTCCCGGGTCACTCCACCTGAAGGGAAGCAAGGCTGTCCGGAAGGAGCGGAGGGACTGGCTACCTTGGAAGGGGAGGCGGCGCTGAGCCCCCGCACAGGCGGGGCCCGAGTACCCAGCCAGGGCCCCCAAAGCCGGTCGAGGAAGGCGGGCAGAGGCTCCGACATGGCCAGGAAAGCGCGCCGCCGCCCGCAGGTGCTCGGGCCTCTGCGAGACCGGGAAGAGGCGGCGCTGCCGCCCGCCCTTCCCCGATCCCGCGGCGGCCAGACAGGCCTAACCCCGCTCCCCGCCCTGCTGGCTGCCCCCCTCCTGACGTTGCCCTCCGCCCCACCCGCGACACCAAGCCCGCCGTTGGCCGTCCCGCCGCGCGCTCTGAGGCCAGGGCTGGAGGCGAGCGCGCGGGCAGCACCGCGCACTCACCATTGTCAGCGCCGCCGCCGCGTCCCCACCACCTCACTCCGCTTCCCTCAGAACTCCCAGTCCAGATTCCCTCCGCCCCAGCGCCCGTCACGTGACCTCGAGCCGCTGACCGCACGTGATCCCTCCCTTCCTTTCCTCTCCTCCCCCTGCTCCAGTCCCCCCCCCGGCCTCATGCCCCGCCCCACTGGCCAGCCTGGCCCTCGAGGAGAGGCAGTTTGGAGGCGGGGCCTCGTGCTCCACCCTATACTCTAGGGGGCGGGGCCACCGAGTGCCGTAAAGTGGGAGGGGCCTGAGTGGACGCAGGCTCCTCAGGCCCTCCTCGCCCTCTCTTCGGTTACGTGGGGGGCGGCTCGCTGACGGGCCTTTTTGCCACTCCCAGTTCCTCTTCCCTGTGGAAGTTTGAGTAGCTGGAAAAGAAGGCGGGAGGGTTTGTTCTGCCCTGCAGGCGCTCTCCCCGGGTGGGTTACTGGGCAGCCGAGGCGAAGGGGAGCTGTTACCCGAGGCGCTGCTTCCTTAGGCCTTGCAAGGTACATGTTCTCTTCATCCAGGGAGGAGGCATTCTTCTTTCATCTTTCTGGAACTATCCAGCTCCCTCTCCCACTGGGAGCTGCTGGGTTTTGAGAACTTGTTAGCACTATAGCCTCTGAAGAGCCGGCCAGTGGGAAAAATGTGAGAGTGCTACATCCGTTGCTTTGTAAAGTACACGGATATCTTGCAACCTAGCCACCTGAGCTGTGCTGTCCGGCCAGTACGTGAGGGGTGGGGGGGCTTCCTAAAACAGGTGGTGCAGCTTGCCAGTACTCTGGCTTTGACCGCATCCAGACACTGTGGTGTGAGCCTAGAGGCCCTCCAGATTAATGGGATGCTGTTTTAGTTTTTAAAAGCAGTGTTGAACCACCACAGTGTATACATGACCAAAGCAGAAAAAATGCTCATCTGAACGCACCATCATTACCCCGTCATAACAAAACAAAATCAAGTTTGTGAGGCAGGGCCATAAAGCACGTATAAAATTTTAAAAGGCTTGAAATTAGAGCATGGTCTCTAACCACAATGAAATTCACTTAGAGATAACAAAAAGATAGTCAGAAAGTCCACAAATATATGGTAACTAAGCAACATAGTTATAAACCTCTATGTCAAAGAAGACAGTGGAAACTTAAAAATAGTTTGAACTAGAAAATTATAATAGAATTTATGGGATACAGCTGAAGTAGTATTTACAGGGAGATCGGTAGCTTTCAACGCATGTATTTGAAAAGAAGAGTTTTAAAATCAGCAGTGTAAGTTCACATCAGGAAATAAAATCATACTACCATGTGGAGGGGAGCAGGGGATATATGGGAACTGTACTTCCCACTCAACTTTGCTGTGAACTTAAAACTTCTCTAAAATAATAAAAAAAAATTAAAAGCGCTCACGTAGGTGGTTACATTATCTTCAAACAAAGGTGCCATGACAAATCTATGGGGAAAGGACAGTCTTCTCAACAAATGGTGTTGGGAAAACAATATCCACTTGCAGAAGAATGAAGTTGGACCATTATGTTATACCATATACAAAAATTCACTCAAAATGGGTTTAAGACCTAAAACTATAAAACTTGTAGGAGAAAACATAGGGGGAAAATCTTTGGACTTGGCAATGGTTTCAACAAAAATGACAGACATAGCACAGGCAACAAAAGCAAAGATAGACAAATGGAACTGTATCAAACTTAAAAACTTTTCTTCATCAAAGGACACAACAGAGTGGAAGGGAAACCTATGGAAAGGGAGAAAATATTTGCAAATCACTGATAAGATATCCAGAATATATGTTGCTCCTTCAACTCAATATATATTCTTAATATCTAGAATATATGAAGAATGTCTACAACAATAACAAAAAATCAAATAACCCAGTTAAACAGTGGGAAAAGGACTTGTACAAACATTTCTCCAAAGATGATATACAAATGCCCAACAAGCATATGAAAAGATACTCAACATTCGGATAAATGCAAATCAAAACCACAAGGTAGCATCTCACACCTATTAGGATGGTTACTATTAAAAAAATAATAAGTGTGAGTGAGGATATGGAGAAATTGGAACCTTTGTGCACTGTTGGTGGGATTGCAAGATGGTGAGCCCCCTATGGAAAACAGTATGGAGGTTCTTCAAAAAATTGAGAATAGAACTGTCATGACCCAACAATCTCACTTCTGGCTATATATCCAAAAGAATTGAAAGTAGGGTCTCAGAAATATTTGCATATTCACATTCATAGCACATATGAACACTCATGTTCATTCATAACAGCCAAGAGGTAGAAGGAACCCAAATGTCCACGGACAGATAAATGGAATATTAATCCATCTTCAAAAGGAAAGAAATCCTGTCACACACTAGAACATAAATGAACCCTGAGGACACTGTGCTAAGTGAAATAGGCCAGTCACAAAAAGACAAATACCATACGATTCCACTTATATAAGATATCTAAGTCAAATTCATAGACACAGAAAATAGAATGGTGGTTACCAGAAGCTGGGTGAAGGGGGAAAGAGAAGTTACTATTTAATGGATATAGAGTTTCAGATTTGCCAGATGGAAATGTTCTGGAGATCTGTCTTAATATACTTAATATACTTAACCACTACCGAACTGCACACTTAAAAATGGTTAAGATGGTAAATTTTATGTGTTCCTTACCACAATAAAAAAAATTAAATGCAGAGTAGAAAGAAGGAAGACAAAGATAAGAATAGAAGTCAATGGAATAGAAATAGGCAAGCAATAGAGAAGATCAAGAAATGCAATAGTTGGGGGCGCCTGAGTGGCTCAGTTGGTTAAGCGACGGCCTTCGGCTCAGGTCATGATCCTGGAGTCCCGGGATCGAGTCCCGCATCGGGCTCCCTGCTCAGCAGGGAGTCTGCTTCTCCCTCTGACCCTCCTCTCTCTCGTGCTCTCTCTCTCTCATTCTCTGTCTCTCAAATAAATAAATAAATAAATAATCTTTAAAAAAAAAAATGCAATAGTTGGAGGCCAAGGAAAGGAGGCGAGTCAAGGACTTCCTCCTGGGGAGGGAGCTTGGATTCGGGAGGCTGCGCTGGGCCTGTTGGACTAGGCGTCCACGCGTGGGAGAGTTCAGGCATGTCTGTACGTGCGGTGATGCGCGCCTTGTGCAAGAACAAGATGCTTTGCTACGGAGTCCTCATGCTATTGCTGATTGTTGGAGGTTCTTTTGGTCTTTGTGAATTTTCACAAATCCGCTATGATGCTGTGAAAATTAAGATTGATCCTGAATTAGAAAAAAAACTGAAAATGAATAAAGTATCATTGGAATCAGAGCATGAGAAAATAAAGGATTCTGCTTTTGATGACTGGAAGAATATTCGAGGACCCAGACCTTGGGAAGATCCTGACCTCCTCCAAGGATGAAATCCAGAAATTCTTAAGACTAAGACAACTTGACTCAGTTTATTCTTTTCTTTCTTTTTTCTTTCTTTCTTTCCTTCTTTCATTCATTCATTCATTTTTTTTTAAGATTTTATTTATTTATTTGAGAGAGAGAGAATGAGAGATAGAGAGCACGAGAGGGAAGAGGGTCAGGGGGAGAAGCAGACTCCCCGCTGAGCAGGGAGCCCGATGTGGGACTTGATCCCGGGACTCCAGGATCATGACCTGAGCCGAAGGCAGTCGCCTAACCAACTGAGCCACCCAGGCGCCCCTTTCTTTCTTTTTTTAACAAAAGTGTTATCAACTGGAATTCCCACTTCATATTCAGGGGGAAGAAAATTTCAGACCTGCAGAAGCTTGGATGTGAGTAACGTGATGACAGATGATCTTGATAAAAAGTCACAGTAACATCAGGCAGTGATTTTATGTCAAACCTGTGTAGGAAAATAATATCGATCACAGGCTGATGAGAGTTTTGGTTTTACTTATAGTACCTCACAGGATATACTAATCAGTCTCCAAAGTGTCACCTGATGATTGTACTGATACAATCAAAACATGTTAAGAAGAAAAAAAAGAAATGCAATAGTTGGTTCCTTAAAAAGATTAATAATGTTGATAAGCCCCTGGCAATACTAATCAAGAAAATGAGATAAAATGTAAATTAACAATATTAGGAATGGGAAAGAAGACATCACTTCAAATCCTACAGACATCAAAAGGATAATAGAGAAATATATGAACAACTTTCATGCCAGTAAGTTTGACAACTTAGGGGAAATGGACACCTTCCATTAAAACAACTTTCTGAGGGGTGCCTGGGTGGGTCAGTCAGTTAAGCATCTGGCTCTTGGTTTCTGCTCAGGTCGTGATCTCATGGGTTGTGGGATCAATCCCCACATCGGGCTCCACGCTCAGCAGGGAGTCTGCTTGAAGAGTCTCTCCTCTGCCCTTCCCCCCACTTGTGTGCATTCTCTCTCTCTCAAATAAATGGATCTTTAAAAAAATTTTTCTGAAATGAACATAAGAGGAAATACAAAATCTGAACATCTTACATCAATGAAATTGAACAGAAAATTTAAAATCTTCCCACCCCAAAACTCCGCTACGCTACAGAATTTCCTGGTAAGTTCTACCAAAATGTAAGGAAGAAATAATACCAACGCTGAGCAAGGAGCCCCATGTGGGGCTCGATCCCAGCACTCTGGAATCATGACCTGAGCTGAAGGCAAACGCTTAACCAACTGAGCCACCCAGGTGCCCCAATCTACACAAACTTTTTAAGAGAATATAGGAGGAAAGAACACTTGCCAACTCCTTTTCTGAGGCCAGCATAACCCTGATACCAAACTCTGACAAGGACATTACAGGAAAGAAAACTGCATATCAATATCCTTCATTAACTTAGCTGCAAAAATCCAAACCAAGTTTATAAGGCAGAAATTTCTGTAAAATCCATGATCTGTGGGTTGGCCCCACACTAGTTAAATGTGTTCCTTTGTGTACCTATAAAATTCCTATTTAGTGGAGTGGGACAACACCTTTATATATGTTTTAAAGTTCATCTCTGGAGGCACCTGGGTGGCTCAGTTAAGTGTCTGCCTTCGGCTCAGGTCGTGATCCCAGGGTCCCAGGATGGAGCCCCACATTGGGCTCCCTGCTCAGCAGGGAGCCTTCTCCATTTCCCTTTCCCTCTCCCTTCGCCACAACCCCTGATTGTGCTTCCTCTCTCTCTCTCTCTCTCCCTCTCTCTCTGTCAAATAAAATCGTTAAAAAAATAAAAAAATAAAAAAATAAAGTTCATCTCTGTTATTGTTGATGCTCAAATCAGCATTAAAATATAGATAAAGTGAAATGAAATGAAAATAAATGAAACTTTTAGTCTAAGGCTGCAAAGAAAGCAAGGATAAATCTAAGAAGGAATGTGTTTTATGTTTTCCCCTTCTAAGTAGTGTATCTATAGATGATGATAGATGATAGATGATAGATAGATAGATACATGATAGATAGATGATAGATAGATGATAGATAGATAGATAGATGATAGATAGATGATAGATAGATAGATAGATAGATAGATAGATAGATAGATAGATCAAATAAATGAGAGTATTTCCTGGAGCCAGATGTTTGGATTCTGGGATCCAAACAGGGATCCAAATATTTGTTCATTAAACATATGCTTAATGAGAGCTCACTAAATGGCAGGTGTTGTTTTAAGCTGTGGAGATAGAGTCAGTTAGAAAAGAAGAAGAGGAGGAAGAGAGAGGAGGAGGAGGAAGTTGTTCTTGTCCCCAAGGAGCTTATATTGGAAAAGTAATTAAATATAATATTTTCAATTAGAAGAAAGCACTAAAAAGAAATAAACATGGTGACATGAGTGGAAAAGAGCTATTTTTAGATAGGGTGGTGGGAAAGTGACATTGAAACTGAAATCTGAAGGGAGGAGTCACCTATTAGAAGAACTGAAGGAAGAGGTGCATCCCAGGCAGAACAGTGAATGCTAAGGTCCTGAGCTAGGAAAAAGCTTAGTTCTTTCCAGGAATGGGAAGGCAGTGTAGCCGAAACCTAATAAATGACAGGGACAGTAATACAGGAAGAAGAGCAGTTAGAGAACAGTTGGGTATAAGAAGGAGATCTACAGATGTTGCTCTCCTCTCTAGATCCAAGGAGAATTATAGGGACAGAATTTTAAAGCAGCATTTTCTGATTTAGCCTGTGTACCTTCACAACCTTGAGGAGAACTGATGTCTTCCATCTTCATTCCAACAGAGGACTCTGTTTATTCCCTTTGAATAGTCTCCCTTCCTTACCAGATTTAGGGAAGGAACCAAAAGCTACAACTTCATCCCATGCCTCTGACCAACTGCGATACCTAAAATCCAGTAAACCCACAATACATATTTTTTTAAAGATTTTATTTATTTGTCAGAGAGAGAGAGCACAAGCAGGGGGCGTAGCAGAGGGAGGGGGGGGGAAACAGGCTCTCTGCTGAGCAGGGAGCCCAACGTGGGGCTCAATTCCAGGACCCTGGGATCATGACCTGAGCCGAAGGCAGGCGCTTAACCGACTGAGCCACCCAGGCGCCCCTGACTTGATTTTTAATTAGAGCTGTAGATCTACTTGGAGATCAACTAGTCCAACTCTTATTAGGATCAAAAGACTATACAACTTATTAATGGAGAAGAGCTGGTGTCCTGACTCCCACTCCAGTTCTAGACTCCCCACTTGACATCAGTAAGTAAAAGTATAGTCAAAGTACATTTAACAAGTCAGATAGAACCTGGATGGGTTCCAGTGATTTCTAAATTTCTAAAAGTTATTTTAAAGCCATATTAGGTATTAGTGTATTATTCATAACTGTACTGACACTGGTATTGTCATTTGAACTGTGAGAAGACAATCATAACAATGCAAGTCTTCATGAAATAAGACATTATTAATGAAAGAGGAAGACGATTTTTTTTTTTTTTTTACTTAAATTCGCCTGTTATCTTGACTGTTCTTCTGGTTCCCACCTACTCTTGTCTGGGAGCCTAAATATCAACACATCAAAGAGAATAAATGAAAGAAAAGTAGCAGCAGCAAAGAAATACTGGTGAAGGCAAGTATAAATAAGAGCTGGCCAAAGAAAACAAAAACAAAGCAAAACAAAAAGTTGGCCAAGAAGGTCACACCAGAGATCAGTTTATACTAATGACTTGTTCTACCGATCAAAACCCAGTAACTGTGCTACTATAATAAATGCAAGGAGCAACGGAACTGTTGAGCAAGTTATTTATTTATTTATCTATCTCCCTATCTACTTATTTGGCAAGCCAGAATATTAAAGCTAGATGGTAAGAAGTACAGTGTTTTGCCAGGCAAGGACTGTGACATCTCTAAATTTGCACTTTGCAAGAAAAAAAGACATGGGGAAAATATGACTAACTTACAAGCATTGACTTTCATAAACAAAAGTACCAGGTTTAGGTAAAAAAGTATTAGGTAAGAAGATAATTTAAGTTTTTATCTACCTATCAGGAACCACTTAGGAGAAAAATAGCTCTTTATTGAAATTTATGAAGACTAAAAAGTCATAGTAATAACTGTGACAGTGTAAAGGAGCAACTCTTTGCAGAGTTGACAGCCAAAGCTAAGTAAAGAGAATCATGTACAAATACACTAGAAGAATGAAAAAAATTAAAATTAAATTATGCTGGGTATAAAAACACTTTTTTCTCAACTTAGAAGATAGTTATATATTCAAATGGAATATATTTAAATATATTTATAGGATATATATGTAGAAAATAGATATAGAATATATAAATATATTCTCTTTAACTTTAGCCAGTACAGCTATAATCATGGTAAATACTCTTTTTTTCCTTTTTTTGGTTGCCATTGTCAATGGCAAGTGTTTCTCTCAAAATATATAGTTCTTTTCTTGAATGTTTTCACACTTAATGTTTTGTCTCACTGTTCCCTTTTCTTGTTTTATTGAGATATAATTTATACACAATGAAATGTGCAAGTCTCAAAATAAATAAATCTTCAATGTTAGCCATTGTTATAAATGTGTGGTTATCTCACTGTAGTTTTAGTTTGCATATTCCTGATGATTAATGTCAAGCACTTTTTCATGTGTTTATGGGCCATATGTATACCTCCTTTTGTGAAGTGTCTGTTAAGACTTTGCCAATCTTTTATTGGAATGTTTATCTTATGGGGTTCTAGTTTATTAAATATTTTGGATACATGTCCCATATCAGATATATTAATTGCAAGTATTTTCTCCCAGTCTGTAGCTCGCCTACTTATTTTCTTAATGTTTTTGAATGATTTGAGATTTTTGGCTTTTACATTTAGGTATGTGATCCATCTCAAAGTTTGCAAATAACATGAGGTAGGATTTGAGGGATTATTTATGTCTACATGGTTCTAGCACCATATGTTGAAAATAATTTTTTTCCCTCATTAAATTGCTTTGGTGTCTTTGTCAAAAATCTATTGACTATAGAATTATGGATCTA